CCTGAGTGTCTAGCGTGTATCTCAAACCAAGTGTCTTGTTCAAAAGCATTCATAATTTTCCCATCTTTATTTCGTCTGCGGAAGAACGTAGGTACTTCTTCGATCTCCCCAAGGGATTCCTGCGCGTTCAAACGTTGCAGCTTCTCTTTGAACCATTTAGGAGCGTTCCTCGTACGATACGATGATTGCGCGTCAGGTGATCCTCTCACAACAGCGGCAACGTTTAACATGTAAAGTAGAACACAAAACCATATACCAACAGTCGAGGTCATTGTGGACGATTATTTCCAAAACGATATACAAGCTGAATATATTGCGTGTTTATCAGAACGATGTGCAGCTGTTGTTGTTGTGAATATATTGCGTATTTGCTGTATGCGCGACATGCCCAGACGCGTACTAAGCAAGATTTATTTTGTTTAATTAACTATCAATAGGTTGGCAAATATTCCGGTGTGTGCTATATTAAAACTTGAAATTTAGCCAGAATAAAACTGGTTTTTTGAGTTGAACTAGGGAAAGGTTTATAACATTTGTAATATAGAAATTCAATGTTGTTAATACGCCATTAAAAACATGTTTATAACTACATTTGCTCAAAATTACTCCCAAAATGCGGGAAATGCCATTTCAAAGACACAAATATTTTAAAAATCGAGATGGGGCAATCGCATGCCCCAGACCCACAAAGAAATGCCCGGCTTCAGGCTAAAATAAATTTCCCAATTTCAGGTAAACGCGGATTTTTTTTACTTCTGGCTAACACCCTGCAAGTACACAACTTGATCCTGCCAGAGGCCTAGTATTGTTGCGTTTTTCGTAACTGCTCCTGGTTAGACCGAATATATAAAATGTACACATCATAAAATGTACACATAAAATGTACACTCGAAAAGCCTCAAACAATTAGTTCCCAAAATCCTGACTCATGCATGACAACCCAGCAAATGGTCTCCTCCGCTTTTCATCTTCTGACCTCTTCTGCGTCACGTCCGAAACAGCTCTGGAGTAATTTATTGCAAAATGAAAGACGTTAAAAAACTAGGAACTTTGCATGACATATTTCAACCACTTTTATTAAACAAATTTACTATAATAATATCTGTAAAATATCCCATAAGTGCTGTCACTATAATATTATTTAATAACATTTCTTAATAATACTTTAATATATTAAATACAAACAAGCAATGCTGTCTGACCATGGTTTCTAGGTCTGACAGTAATCTCAAAATCTCAGATCATTTTCAGTAAAGACACCCCGCATGCAGGTTAGGAAGGACCAGCCTCCCTAAAATTGAAAGGATCTGTACACAGAGCGTGGCACTGGTATTAAAGGTTGATGACTCAACAGACTTGTTCCAAAGTTGATGACTCAACAGACTTGCTACATGAAATCTGCTGTGTTGATGTAATGTACTCAGGTGAATAAGATGTTTGTGTGATGTTACTCTGAGTGTATATCCAGGTTGAAAACCGTGGTCAGGCATATTTTTCAAGCCTGCCCGGTGTGGATATACACTGAGAGTAACATCACACAAACAGACTTGCTACATGTTGAGCCTATTCATAATCAATAGTAGAAGGTTAAGGAACTCGATGCAGACATCATAGACGTCATTATCTATGTGTTTGTCTTGGCTTATGCAAGAAATGCTCGGTTCAAGAAATGGTCGGTATTGGGTTTTTTTCCCAACCAAGAGCAGTATGTTGGTTTAATCACCCAGTCATACACAATGGTTAAATGAAACATAGCTATTGGTTGCTCTGGCCAAAATACAATACACACGTGACGATAAACCAACCATTTCGTGCATAAAGCAAGACATAAACATAGATAACGAGGATTATTTTGTCTGCATCAAGTTCTCTATCTTCTTATTCTATTGAGTATGCCCTATTGCATAGTATATTTGTAAAACAATAGCAGCATTTCCTCTAATCCAGCGCTTGCCTGAATGCAAAACAGATCCCTTGTCTCTACAATATATGAACAATTTTGAGCTCTAGCAGTATGCATGTTATTTATGATGCATGTCCTACCATTATGCTTGTGTGTTATAATAAATTAATTCTAGTTAATATTTCAAAAACCTCCAGAAAATCATTTGTGTTAAATAACAATGCATATTGTCTTCACTCGAAGACCCTTTACTTACATCCCAAGTTGTGCAAAACCCCCTCCTCCTTTGGAGAAATATCAAGTAACCCCCTCTATCCCAGCATTATAGACCTTTCTTATGATAACTTGAAACAAGGAAAACCAATTACGTGATGTCCCATGGGACAATGCAAGTTGCTGGTAATTTCATGAAAACATCATTTGCATTGCAAATTATCACTAAAACTTGTCCCTTGGGACATCACATTAAATGTTTTTCCACGTTTGACACCATTTTTAAATGCACAAAAAGTCTATTTCCTAGAAATCTCCAGAACCCACATGCTTATTTCAGAGAAATTTCAATATATTTCTCGTCGTCATCACCTTTGTTCAATTTCATGAACGTCTTCTCATCCATTTCTCGCACTTTCATTTTGGTGATTGGTTTTCTTGGAAAGATGACCAAGGTTGGATTTGCAGATTGCTTGTTTGAGACGACTGTCTCAACATTATGTCCTTGCTGCATGATATAGTTTGTGATTGTTGAACCGTATGACTTCAGCGCCAAGACAGCACTTTTAACAAGCATCAGAGCCTCCTTAAGTTGTTCTGGGTTGTCTAACTGTTGCATACCAGCAGGCAACTTGTATGAAACACCATGAGATGTCTCAAGATACTCAAGAATTTTGACAAATCCAGACAAATCACCTCGCCCTGTTCGATGAGGATTTTCATCTGTTTTGCAAGTGATTTGAAAATGTCAATTGCTTTTTGAAAAGTGCTTGATAGATATCCACTGATCTCACTTAACTGGATGATTGGGTCAATATCAAGATAAAAGTCGTAATCTTCTGTCATGCTGCCGCAGCCAAGACCCAGACGCATTCCTGAATGACAAAAATTATTTACACAATCAAATTAGTTTGGTGGACATTAGGGGGAGGACTGGGCAAAGATGAGGCAGCCCTCAAAATTTCTCAGGGAGTCTATGTAAGGAGACAGGGCAGCAGGGGGAGGGGAATTTTGCTGCCAGACTCTGCCAACACCAATTACATCCCCAGATATTATCAACATATTACCTGAAGGAATAACACAGAGAGATTCAACAAGTTTCATGTCCAGATCAAAACCTAACATTTCTTTACATTGCCTCTCCTCATCTTGCCAACATTTCCAACTTTCAAGAAAATTATTAAATCTCTTAAAAATATCTTTTGCACCCAGTTGATCAAATAGATTACTGCTGTCTACAAACAAAATATAAAATCATCAGATTTGACTATGATATTTTCTTCAACTAAACTAACTTTACTGATACTGAATAGCTTTATCAGTTCTAAAACACAGATTAGGGATTTGTTCTTCCAAGAGGTTCAGTAAGGGTCGTCTCTTATTGATCTAGTATTGCTATAGGAGGAAACTAATCTAACTCGAAACTAGCTAAAATAGCTCTATCAGTTCACTCTACATTCCAGGCATGAACATCGGGTAAAATAAAATAAAACTTTAAGAACAGACACATGCATAAATGAATTTTTAAATAATTATTTTGAAATACAAAACCACATTCAAGCTATTTAGCAACACAATATTGAATATTAAAATCTACCAGTCACAACAGCCAAAATAAAATGTCTCAAAATAATTCATTGTAACACGTTTTGTCGTTGTTTGTGTAAAAACAACATGAAAAACATTACATTCTCCAGAAGTTTATATGCCTCACTCGAAACATCTATGTATGGTTCTATAATATTTTTTAACGTGTTCCGACACAATGATAATGAATTTTGTTATACCTTTGCTGTTTGCCCACACTAGTTTTATATCATCTCCAGAAACAGTCGATGCAGTACTGCCAAGCCTTCGATGACCAAAACTGCCAGACGTTTTACTGCTTTTGCCCGGTTGGGCTATTTTATGCTTCTCATCCTGGGAACATAGTAGAGTATTGTCACAGAATATAAGTAATGGTGACACAAGGGAATAATGAGATCAGTATTAAACCTTAGTAAGTCTGTACATCTATGTAAAACCTGCACTACAGAGCTCAGTCGATCGTCTCTTATGGAATTAAATAAAAATTAAATAAAAATTATTCAGATATTGTCCATATTTAAAGGTGTCTATTTGGGTTTGACGGTGTTGACAGGACTACCTGTTTCACTTTTTATTAGCATTTTTTATATTTCATGTTTATACCAAGCACCTTGCTATTTAGCTAACATATTTTAATTTGGATAATGGTCCTTTGGTTTCATAATTGAACGTTTTTCACAGAAATTAAAGATTACAGAGAACAATATATAATCTAACAATTTATCGTCTGAGTACTTGATAATAGTGCGATATAAAGATGAAATTTCATCCTAAACAAACATATTTTATTACACAATATAAAAAAATATTAGATACACTTTTGACTTTGCTTTCAACATAGACTATTTAATGAAAGATATATAACATGGAGAAATATATAACACTAGATACAATATAAACGCTGATCAGTGAACCGCATGATTACAAAACAAATACTAACTTTTACGCAGTCATCTGGCAGCTGTATGTGTTTCTTTACGCAATTATTCCCCATCTTTTTAAATCTATCAAAAATGCCCATTGTCACCGCTTGTATTGGAAATCTTGGGGCCTCGCAACTATCCTTATTTTCATTGTACACGACAAGCTAGCTTCTTATATCTTTACGGAAGGAAATCTTGCCAGACGACAATGAAAGCCCGTGCCAAAAATAACAAAATCATCAAATTTCGAAAACAAAGGACGTCCTTGACTTTCCCAGGGAGGGGTAGACAAAAAGTTTACAATATCTTGTTTTGTTGTTAAAACATCAATCAGTATAAACATTTTATATCAAGACACAGTATTTTTATTCTATATTAATAGTCTAGGATAATTTATTGATTTATTTATACAAGAATAAAAGCGATTATACATTTAGAGAACAATTTAAATAGTTTGCCTACGACCCCTCCCCCCTAAGTCAAAAAGAAACGCAAGCTGTGGTTTTCTATTGTGGTTTGCGTCTTGGCGCAACGCGAAAAATTATGCAAAGCACTTCCGACGGCGTTTCCACCCTGTGGTCAAGTGCTTTCTAGAGTTGAATTCTTTTCATTAATACGCGTTGTACGTTATTTGCAACAATTTTACACTAAATGCATGATAAATAATGACATAGCAACAATCATTTCCCGGTGTGCCGTCGCACTTGCGATCATATCAGTGCTTGCGATACGTTGCGCGAAAAATCAGGAAAATTTGTGAACACAATTAAAATTGTATAAATGTTATGGAAAATTCAGGCACATTCTTTGAACAGTAATTTAAGTTTACTAGGGGGAAGAAAAGAGGTTAGAAATCAGTAAAACCTGACGTTGAATTGTTAAAAACGCAACTTTAATGAGTTTCGAACAGCTTTGTCAGACAGTTTTTTTTATACATTTTTGGTGTTAAAAAACATACATATGCATTATATTATTCCACATTTTGAGCAAAATTTGTCGTCTTTGGCACCAGAACAATCTGATCACACAGTGAGCAAAACATTTTGGTAAATGTCCTCATAGGCGTACCGGGCGGGGGGGGGGGGCGGTAGCCCCCCCAGTTTTTGGGGCAGTCGGGCAATATTCGATGAACAGTCGGGCAATTTTGGTTTGCAATAAAAAAAATGGGACAAATTCTGTCAATTTTGTCTAAAATTAAGTCAATTTTTTTTTTTGGGGGGGGGGAGGTCTCCAAGATAATTTTTCCGGAAAAAAATTTTTGGTACTAGTCGGGCAGAATCCCGAAAAGTCGGGCAATTTTCTTTCCGCCCCCCTAATTTTTTCCTTCCGGTACGCCCATGAATGTCCTTCAACAAACACTAGCTTCTCGCTAGCTTCACAGCGCTACAAGAATGGCGGGAATGCGCGAGATCTCCAACCACGAGTTATTTTAAAATTAACTTTATTTTGCCGTGACGTTTTATTTTGTCCTGAGTTAATTTCGTTTTGCCGTGAGTTTATTTTCTGTTGCCGTTGCAGTAAATTTTATTTTGCCGTGGCTCAGTTACTTTCGCTGTGACTTGTGTGCCACATCATTTTATATTGCAGACTCGGGGAACGAGATTACCAAACTCTTCCAAGCCTGGTGGGATTAACGGATCACTTCATTTAGCCGATCAGATTACCAGCTTTTTTCGATCGTGATCTGATTGGTTAAAATGAAGGCGGAAGAGAAAGTAGACGGGTACCTACAAAATGGCGAAATAGCTGGTATCCTGGCGTGAAACTTACCCAGTAAACTTTAGAACTTAAAATAGTTTAATTTAGGTTTTTAATCATGTTTTTAAATTTGATATGACATAAACAAGTAGTAAAGATACATTTTTAATTTTTTATCACAAAACACACGGCTAACTTTTAGTCGCAATTCAATTGAATGCGATTGTACCCTCGGGAAGTATGGACTGATGGGGCACTTTTCTTTTTTTAAATTTTATTTGTCATTTACCCTTCGGATAAATTAATTAAAAACAGATCTTCTAATTTACCGATCAATTTAATACCCTGGTCCCTGGGTGCCAGAGGTTTTTCCACGCTCGCAAAAACCCCGTAAAATATAGCGACGAGATTTGCGAGCGTGGGAAAACCTCTGGCACCCAGGGTAAATTAGAACATCTGTTTTAAATTTATCCGAGAGTAAATTAGAAATAAAATTTTTAAAAAGAAAAGTGCCCCATCAGTCCATACTTCCCGACTCTGCTAGCTCGTATCGGTCAAGTCCGTCTCGTGCTAGCCGTTAAAACGCCGTATGTTAACGTTTAACATACGTTCGGCTAAACTCAACGCTATCATCAGAGGCGGTGAATAGGTGGCTTACCAACCAGTATCGAACGAACTATGGGGGAGAGTGCCGGCGGCCCCCAGACCATTATACCTGGCACCCTTTTCGCAAGATCCTATGATCGGTAACTACCACACACAAGTAATAGTAACAGTTCGGTATATAAGTACGTAACAGTTGTCTGGTATGGTGCATGTGGGACGCTTCAGCTCGGTGTTTACCAAACCTTTGAAACGAACACATGCGCGATAACCTGACACTCGGGTAAACGAAACGCATGCGTGGGCATCAGAGCGTGGGCATCATCCAATCAGGACGCAGAAAATTTCGCACTGGTCCCGCGAGTTCGAGACATGTGCGAGACGGCTCAAAAATTTCAAAAATATCTGTTTTCGAAACAAATTCAGTGAAGATCGGATCTATATAGTATTAAAAAATATATATTATTCACATGTGTTTGCTTGTCGAAGATTGAAATTTAAAGATTATGGCTAGCCAAGGCGATAAATGGACTGGAAAAGATGAAGGCGAAGTGAAATCTACACCGTCAATTAACCAAGAGGTCGCACCGACGTTGGTTTCTAGTACTGATACGAAAGGTACAAAGCTTTATATTTTTATCTTTTGTATTGTTTTGTTTCCTTTTTTGACGATAGTTGATGAGAAAATATTCTTGTCTAAAGCTTGCTTCAATCGTCAAAAGAGGAAAGTTCTTAGTTGGCTTTATTAGTATTTGTATTTAATATGAAATATGAATTCTATATTTAATAATTATTAAACTTCCTTTAGCCTAGATATAAAGTTTCTAAAATCTTGCATAGTCCATATTCTTGGCATGTCTTGCATACAGAATACACCCTTCTGGAAAGTATCTCACTTTGGCTATATAAAAGCCTAACATCAATCACGAAAAGAATGGCCAAGGTGATGTTACTACTACTTCTTTCCGGAACCGTGTGTATATACATTGCCTTGAATTGTATGATTCAGCTAGGATATGATGAAACATTGGATAGTATAAGTTTCAAGAACTCTAAACGATAACCACAAAATAAGGGCCATAATTTGCAAATAGGTATATATTATTTATTGATTCATTATCAAGATAGTTTCACAAATTAATTGATTATTGCAGATATTGATGACATTATATGTTAACACTATAGAAATAATAAATATCTATAATTACTTTCTAGGATTAACACACTTCTGCCATGGGATGTGAACAGCGAATTCACCATTACCATATATGTTACAATCTAGCGCTTTGACAATGACTCAATTTTTTTGGCCAAATAATATATTTTTATCAACTTTATAATAGTCTATAACTGGAAATGAGTAGGAATAAAGAGGTGCAGAAAACCCAAAATTCATAATTATTCTAATATGACAGAAATAAAAGTCGAAGGTAGTGTTTGTAATATTATTAACAACATACGTACCGTTGCTTGCATCTACAAATGAACACTCGCTGATAAAAACACTCTGTCTATTCCCACGTTCTGAGTATTTGACAGGTTTCAATGAGCTCATTGTGAGGATACTTCAAATGTGATTAACTGATCAGATTAAAAGCCGTCAAATTCTCCTGACAAACACCAAAGTTTCATGTGAGGCTATGAGCATAGATGATGGTTGTGATTATACTGGAGGTTTAGACTCAGGGGCGTAGCCAGCCCCAAACGAGTGGTGTGGGGGGGGGGATGTAATTGTCTGGTCATTCAGGGGCATGGTCCCCTGGAAAATGTTCCTATTTTTAGGGTCTGTGAAATGCTATTTCATGCATTTGTTTTATGATAATCTGAGTGCCACAGATTTGGTATATTTTATATCATAGATGAAAACATTAAGAGGTTACACCCTCACCCAGTTTCTCCTCAGTTTTGAAACAATTACAAAATTGGTCCTGAAAAAAAAGTGGGGGGTCGAGACTCCCCCCTTCCCCCTGTGGCTATGCCTCTGCAGGAAGTTGTCATGCTATCATAACAACTGCCCCCTCCCCCCAAAGTGAAATATGTGTCTTGCTCACTGAAATTATTTTTATCCTTGCAGTCAAGAAACATGGTGAGGCGGCTCAGGTTATTGTTATCGGAGGAGGAATGGCTGGTCTTGCTGCATGTGAACATCTCGTCCAATCAGGTCTCAATGTTGTTCTGGTTGAAGCTAATAACTACTTAGGTAACTGAATTATGTCCTAACAATTTAATTAATTAATTATACTTTGTGAGCATTAATTGATATGATTAACCCAGTGTGCCTTACTTTTTTTACTTGTCTAATGCCAGATGATTTTACTTGTCAATGGGGAAGCTCTGCAGCTTAATGGGTTAATTAATTAATCATATTCTAATGATTAATTAAACACTTACTTAATTTCTTAAGATGTACCAATTAATTAATTTAAAAAATTCTAATGGTTAATTAATTAATTAGTTATGTTTTTTATGTTACTCTGAGTGTATATCCACAGCGGGCAGGCTGAAAAGTTAGCCTGACCACAGTGGGAATCAAACCCACAACCTTTGCAATAGTCTCAAAATCACAAAAAAATACTTAGTTATACTTAATCAGTAAATTGATCATTATCTTGAATTAATAAATGTGCTAATGTTTAGCTAATCATATTCTAATGATAAATTGATTCAGTACTAATTATTTTGCAATGTTGGTTTAATTCTGCAGGTGGGCGGGTGAGACAGATTGAATCAAATGGTTGGCCTCCAGTGGACATGGGTGGTGAAATTATTCATGGTTGTCTTACCAGAGTTTATCAACTGGCAGAGAAATATAACTGGGACAATGAAATGGTACAACATTATTTTGGCAATGTATTAAAGAAGTCATGTTAGTGATGTTACCAAGCTGTTTGGCTGAGATACACTCATTTCTTTAAAGTTTCAGTATGAATTACAATGAGTTCAGATTCTGAGGGTATATATAAACTCATACCCAGGATCTTTCCTCTAGCTGGGTACGAGGTTGTCTCTGTATCTGTACACAGTGGGTGGGTTGAACTAAACACAGCAGATGGTGGTGAACCTGCAGTTATCAAAATGAGAAAATAATGTTAACTTATAGCAGTCTTGTATATGAAGGAAAATAAATACAATTAAAAGATGTGGTTTAATTAGCTTTTCTCACGCCTGCCATTTTTGGGTGGCTTTTCAGCCAAAGTCTGCAAGATAAGTCACAAGTCCACATAACAGCAACTTTTTATAATTTTTTTGACGAATGACGGTAAATTTGCTTTGTGAATGGTTAGTGTATTTTGAAAAATTGCTTTTCATATTTGTATTGGTTAACGAGAATTAGATGCCACCCAAAAATGGCGGATATTCATCATCGTGAGAAAGCCTTTGAAGTTGAACACCATAACCATTAATGCTTACTCAGCAATAATACCAGTGTTGGAAAACCTCCCATTGTATATAAGCCTAATAAAAACTTCCCTCTGTCTTGTGTAGTTATTTGATTACGAAGCTGAGAATGGATTAGAATGGATCTACCTTGATGGTAAAATGTACCCCTACCATTCAAACCAACCTGACATACTGGCGGCCTACACTGCCTGGGGAGATTTCGTTTACAGTAATAAACCTGACGACACTGCAAACATTGACATAACAGCAGCAGAATATTTTGCGAAACACCCTGAGATCAAGATAAAATCACAACATATATTTGATGTGGTGTTCTGTCAAACAGAAGCGGCGAATTTGAACTCGCTCGGAGCACAGGAACACAGTGATTTTCAGAATGGTTGGGAGTGTGGACCTGGCAATTTTAGGTTCGTTTTGTCGCCTTTTCATTTTTGTTCAAAAAAACTAACGTTGTTCAATCCTCAATCCCGAAAAAAAATGCCAGCATGTTTTAAGACATAGTGTTCTCGATCGTGTTTATCCTGCGCAACGCGCGGAAGAAAGGCAAAGTGTGTTGATTTAATTATGTCATAATTCTTGTTTGAAATGCTTTCATTTTGTAAATCATGATATTAACCCATTGAGCGCCAGCGCTCTTCCGTTGACGAGTAAAACCTAATGGCGTTAGACAGAGTAAAATAATAGAGCACAATGTAATTTCATGGGTTAATCGTTGTGATTTTCATTAACTTTCCGCAATGAATTTGCAAAGTCCAGAATATTTTATCTGGCAAATTGCAAACGAGTAGTATGGGCAGGACTCTGCAATAAAATCATTATTATTTAGTAGTAAGCTATATATATGCTGCAACATTGCCTAATGTCTTTCACATGAGCTTAAGAAGAAGTGTACCACGGCATTGCAAACTTATTACGCTTTTTGTTCAATGTAGGTTAAAGAACTCGCACAAACAAGTGGTGCAACATTACACAAAGAAATGTGAAAAGGCTGACATAAAACTGAACTGGCAAGCAAAGGAAATTGACTACTCTCTTGAAACTGTAACAGTAACCAATCAAAACGGAGAAACACTACAAACACAAGCTGTCATTCTTTGTGTTCCATTGACTGTTTTAAAAGATCGCGATATTACATTTAAACCTCAACTTCCACAAGACAAACAGATAGCTATTGAAAAACTTCAAATGTACACTGGATTGAAAATAGTTTGTCGCTTCAGGGAACGCTTTTGGCCAGAGACTACGAAACTAGTGTTTAATTGCATGTCGGATATAAGTCAACTGTGGATGTACGCGGTCGTGAATGAGAAGACTGGTGACCAATGTCATGTTGTAACTGGATTTCAAACCGCTGAATATGCAAGACGAAAGGCTCACATGACTGCAGAGGAAGTGAAGGAGATATTACTTGATGATTTGAATCAAATGTTTGGGTACGTGTAACAATCCAGTATAGAATGTTGTACAGAGTAAAAAAACAGAAAATAGTGCATTTTAAGACTCCGCGACACTTTACAACTGCCGGAGTAATTATAAGAACATTTTGTTTTCTAGAACTAAAGACAAACAGACTCCAGCGTCAGACTTTTTAATCGATTACGTCTACTGTCATTGGTCGTCAAATCCTTACATACGTGGTGCTTATAGTTCACCCTCAGTACACGCGCGTGGATCGCGCGAGATTCTCGCGAGACCCGTGTCAGATCGCGTGTTCTTTGCAGGCGAGGCGACGCGTGATCGAGGGGACTTTGCCACAGTCAGTGGAGCGCTGGAGAGCGGCATCAAAGCAGCCGGGGAAGTGAGAAACGCTTTGAAACTTTAAAATACAAAGTGTATAACATAGGGTTTAAGAAGTACTATCGTTTCGAACGCTCTCTGACAACCTGCCAATTCACTACCTAGCATGTTTAGTTTCAAGAGAAAGCTAGGGCTTCGTTAAGTTTGTAGCGGCGAAATTTTAGTAGTATAACTTGCCGACAAAGGGCCTTCGCTCGAAACGTCGACGTTTTGCTTGTACTTTTCAGGTAGTGGTATCTCTATCAATCCCCAGCTTTCTGCTGTTTATATTAGTGACCTTAAGCATCGAGAACATTGCCGTCCGGGACATTGTTTAATGACCGAGCTTTCCTGGGAAAAGCTATAGTTTTGTTTACGTTTTCTCCAGAACTCAATACAATGAACCCACGTCCTGGACAAAACCTTGACTACGTGCTGGCGGTATATTACGTCACGCGTATTAGACGAAAATCATTTCCGGTCAACGTCGCGGACGGCAATGTTCTACGCGTTCGAGTTTAGTTTTAAGAATATTCGTAATTAAATATTAGACTTGTGTTTTATGTACAGCATGAGAAAGGAATACAGACATTCAATTAAATTAACGAAATTGCTTCAACATTTCTCTTGAATTGCGAATAGTAAACATGCTAAATGGTCATGATAGATGACTAACTAAAGTATGTACGAAAACATACCATATTTTTTTTCGGAAACAAAATAGTGTTGGCAGCTCTCGCAACAGATCAAATTGACAGATAAATGTGAGATATCAAACGAGAAACTTTTCATCTTATTTTAGTGATAACATTTTCCAACAATCTTAGTGCATGTCTGAAATTGTTGTTAGTCTGATTAGAAGCGAGAGAGACGTTTCAGTTTTCACGTGCAAAGATAAGATGTCGCGCAGCTTACTTCTTCCATATGTGGATTACTTACCAGAGACTTCTGTTCTTAATGACATCAATTAAAAGCGAGTATAAACACAATCTTGAATGGCAGACGAGGTTTTATACACGATCAGTGAAGTGAGGAATGAAGAAGATTTAAACAATCGGGATCTTGGAATGGCATCGACCATAAACATCGAGTATGAAGCGATACCAACATTCGAGGAAATCCGAACAAAACTTATACCATTGGTGAAAACAGATGCGTGGTTCAAATCAATAAAAGATCATCTACAAAAGGCAAACGCTGCCACCCAAAGCGTGTTTTATAAACCTCTGAACAACATAAGTCGTATCGAGTATGGTTTCACTGTAGCCATATTGTGTGGTGGTGATCAGTATCATTATGTGTTGAACAGCTACCTGGCAGACTGGCATATTTCAAGTTTAACCTTAGTTCAAATTGCTGAAGCTAACTTTCGTAAACGACTTATTGAAGGAGGAAAAACATGGCAAACTAGTCAGACAGGAATTCGATTTATGCAAGGTTTAGGTATGTGAGGCTTCACAACTATGATAATGAGTTATTTCATGTCAGTATATAAAGCCGGCGTGGGTTGCCCGAACTCCACACGCGCTTGACAACTAAGGTCTAATAAGACACAGAATAGAGAAGCGTTAATAAAGACTAAAGCCCTGGGCAAACTAGGAAACATTGTTGTGGAAACATTTGTGATTCTCGATGTTTCTTCAAATGTTTCCCTGTTTGCCCACCCGTGGAAACATTGTTGCGGAAACAAAATTTGCTTCCCGAGAAGAAAAATGTTTCCTAGCGAATTCAGAAACATTTGATGTTTCCCTGTGTTTCTCATTAATGTTTCCTAGTGTTTGCCCACTCTGGGAAACATGGCGAAACATTGGTAGGAAACAATGTTTCCGCAACAATGTGTCCTAGTTTGCCCAGGGCTTAAGTTTGATTATTTTAGGTCCACTGGCAGCGTCTGTTATCTTACTACCAGATCTAATCGAAAGCTTGGGTGGTCGACAAGGTGACTTCGTGGCATGCCTCGCTGCAGGGGAGCTGTGTATGATAGGAGACTCACAGAATGTAAAACAGATCTGCGTCATGTCTGAGATTGCGCTCAAGTTCGTAACTAAAGCGAGTTTCTTATCAATGCAACCGTTACGGCTGCTGAACAAGGAATGGAAGATATATGAAGCAAATAAAGCCAACGATGAATATCCATTCCCGCAATCTGGAGACGAAGTGAAAATATTGAAACGAGCTTTGAAAATGCAAGGAAAGATTTGAAGGAAATTGGAAAAAATAGAGATTTTTGTAGAGATGAAATGATTTAAAATATCGATAGTAACATTCCTCAAAATGGAAATTAAGATTTGAACGAAATTTTGAAAAATAAAGCTTTTGTTTATTAACAGTACAATTTAAACGATAAGTTTGAAAAAAATTGAATTATGCATGCGGCGCACTCGTATAAACCATATACATGTATGATTAAAGCAAGCATGTTTGTTAATGGTGAAATAATGAAGATGGCTGTGAATATGTGAACTGTGTTGATTAGAGATACTGAGCATTCATGGAAATATAAAATGTATTTACAGCAGTGTCTTTGTCAAACGCGGTTTAGTTTTTATTGCAGTCTTTGCGAAAGAATCTGACTGAAGGAAAGCGACCTGACTGAAGTCCTTTTGCTGAATTACAATATTCACCACTTTCCAGCATTTGCAACGCACCATTCAATTCGCAGACGCGCAATTTCCACAAGCGTTCTTACAGAGATCTTGAAGTCAGTCCGGCAAAAGTCCACAAGTTCTCACTTTTCCCAATATGCCATGCGACAGGCTCAGCGTTCAGTACAATTTAAACACATTTCCTACCTTTCCCATCCTACCTGACCAACAATTTTATCTTCCTTTCCTTTTACTTTTTCGTTTTTCACTTTCATCCACTTCATCTTTGCTCCCAGTCTCACGCGGTCGTTCCTTCTTCTCCGACACATCATCGTCACGTGTTCGTTTCTGTGATCGGAGAGTCCTCGCGGGGGTTCGCTCTGCCTCCGTGGCATCTTCGGTACGTTGTCGTTTTGCAGCTTGTTGTTTCGATGGTGATGGTGTTTCTTCCTTGACTGGAGGAGCGGCTTCTTTGCTTTCTTCCGGGCTATTTTTTTCCAGCTTTATAGCAGTCTTTGCCTCGGTTTTTTCTTCGCCATCTTTCTCTCCTTCTTTCTCGCCTTCTTTGACGACAGGTTTCGACGTCGTCTCTTCGTGTTTCACGTCTTTATCCAGGATTTGAATCAACGAGCGAGGGATAAGAGCACGCTAGAGAATTACACAATGGAAATAAATTTCTCACACATTAATAATTCACGAGGTTCGATTTCTGCTACAGTCCGTTGTTTGATAATAATAATAATATAATACAATGAATTTGTTACTTTGTACATGATACAAACTAATTAAAGACAAATAAAGACAGAAGGATTTCAATTGGGACTAATGGTTCTGTGTCCTTCACCTGTCATTGAAAATGTAAATATTCATTGGCGCATTCATTAAATTCAAACTAGACAAATCGTGACAGGGGAAAGGAACAGGACTCTCGTCCCAATTGACACCTAACCCCTAAATAATAACAGTTATTTCATCACGGCCCCATGTGAGGTGCTTTCATAATATTCTCCTGGTATTCCAGTTTACATCTGCAGTAACACTGAATAAAACGGGATAATCCTTACTAGATCTCTGAGGGAGAACAGTTTGGAACTGATAGAGCAATCCGGTTTGAAGGAAGTTAGCTCAGTTTAGGTTTCTCTTGCAGTAACACTAGATCAAGATATGATCCTTACTAGATCTCTGAGGAGAACAGTTTGGAACTGATAGAGCAATCCAGTTTGAAGGAAGTTAGTTCAGTTTAGGTTTCTCTTGCAGTAACACTAGATCAAGATATGATCCTTACTGGATCTCTGGGGAGAACAGTTGATCCATAGTTCTGGTTGATCTAACTATTCAGTCTAAAGAAAGTTCATTCAGTTAGTCACCTTCCATGCCTTGTTTAGTTTACATTATGATTTAGAAGAACGAACATGCTCACCTGATGCGGAGTGAATTGTTCCACGTGCGTTCGAAGAAGATCCTTTAACTCTGGACAAAGCTAAAAAAATGAATGAACTTTTATATTTCTCTATCAGAAAAGCACCACCACAAGTAAAGCACCACCACCAGTAAAGCACCACCACCACAAGAAGCACCAACAACACAACAAGAAGCACCAGCACAAAAGGCAATCCTCACCTCAAACACACTCTCCAACTGTCTAGGGGGTAATTGCAACAATATTGGATAGGATTGAGGCTTCGTCATCTAGAGAAATAAATTAACATAAATCACATGAAACATCGCCAAAAACAATTCCACTCAACAACAAGCTTCTTATACCACATACCTGGCAACATTTCACGAAGCCTTGCCAAACTTTAGGTTGTTTCCAAACCTAGAAATTTGAAATTATGCAAGTCACGTATTACAATTTGGCAAACAAAAGATTAACACCCAAGATCTTTACAAGGCAGGCTTGGTAAGTATGACGTCACGTGCGCAATAAAAGCACGGTGACTTCATACTTACCATATACTAGTCCAAATTGGGACCAAACCTGCCAAAATCAGTCAAGTAAAGGGCCTAGGCTGATTAACACCATATACGTGAATATGACCAAACAATTATTCTATATACTGTGGACTTCAATGATTTGGTTTCTTGCACTTCACTTGGTGGAATTAATACCGGGTATTAGAATGTTAGGGTTTGTAATCCAAGTGAGTATATATACATTTTATTTTATTTTTTTATTTTATATATATTTTTGTTCCTGGTCAGATCTTAAAATGTATATATACTCACTTGGATTACAAACCCTAACATTCTAATTCTATCTACCGTACCTGTTTGCTGATAAGTTTTGAAAGAATGTTCATAGCAAAACCAACCAGACGTGGACATACACTCAGTGACTGGATCACCTACAACATAGAAAAATAAGCAAAGGTGAAATCTCTAAATCATTGAGGAGTTCATGTGGTACTGATAAATGAGAGCAAATTAAATAGGACATACCGTTCGCATAAACAAAGTTGGCAAGGGATTTTTGTCCATGAGTTGTTGAAGGACAACAGCAAGAACTTCTTGAGTGTAGATTGTTTTCTCAGCAAAACACAGACTCACAGCTATTAAATGAAGATATTAACAAACATTCTGGAAAATGTATTCACATTTGATCAATTAAAATCACGTTCCTGTATAATTCTGAGAAATTTAAAAACCAACACTTATGGTGTCGTGATCTCCACGCTTGCCTTTCAAGCTGGGAGACCAGGGTTCAATTCTTGGTCGGACCTCTACTCAAGGTCTTAAAATAATTGAGGAGAAAGAGCTATCTTTACATTGATATCAGTAAATGGTTAGACTTTCGCGTATTCTCGGATAAGGACGTTAAAATCGTAGGTACCTCGGATCCCCTATCAATTGGGCATAGCTTGTTGGGAACTCAATAAATTTAAACTCAGATTTAGATATTACCTTTAATAATTGACTTCATGTCCGCTTTATCTTCAATGTTATGTAAGGTGATGAGTAATTCCGAGGGTGTTAGTGGACTGGCACTAGATATGGTAGATTCTCCTACGAAATAAGAATTTGTATGTGTGATCACAACTGACCAATCACAACACGAAGAGAGAGAGGTGTGGTCAAACACAGCAAGTTTTCTCCTGTAGTAACACTGAATTAATAAGAGATGACTCTTACTGGTCCTCTAAGGAGAACAGTTTAGAACTGATAGAGCTATCCAGTGTAAGTTAGTTTAGTTTATGTCCCCTCCTGCAGTAACATTGAATTAATAAGAGATGACTCTTACCGGTCCTCTGGTGGGAATTGAACCTATGTTCCCTCCTGTAGGAACACTGGATCAATAAGAGATGATCCTTACTGGACCTCTAGGGAGAACAGTTTAGAACTGATAGAGCTATCCAGTATAAATAAAGTTAGTTTAGTTTAGGTTTCTTCCTGTAGTAACACTGAATTAATAAGAGATGACTCTTACCGGTCCTCTAAGGAGAACAGTTTAGAACTGATAGAGCTATCCAGTGTAAGTTAGTTTAGTTTATGTCCCCTCCTGCAGTAACATTGAATTAATAAGAGATGACTCTTACCGGTCCTCTGGTGGGAATTGAACCTATGTTCCCTCCTGTAGGAACACTGGATCAATAAGAGATGATCCTTACTGGACCTCTAGGGAGAACAGTTTAGAACTGATAGAGCTATCCAGTATAAATAAAGTTAGTTTAGTTTAGGTTTCTTCCTGTAGTAACACTGAATTAATAAGAGATGACTCTTACCGGTCCTCTAAGGAGAACAGTTTAGAACTGATAGAGCTATCCAGTGTAAGTTAGTTTAGTCTATGTCCCCTCCTGCAGTAACACTGAATTAATGCGAGATGACTCTTACCGGTGCTCTGGTAGGAATTGAACCTATGTTCCCTCCTGTAGCAACACTGGATCAATAAGAGATGATCCTTACTGGACCTCTAGGGAGAACAGTTTAGAACTGATACAGCAATCCAAGGGTACATAACTACACACCATGAAAACATCCCAGCAGGCGATTAAACACTTCCTTCACGACATTTGGAGATTGTTTTATTAACTTGGGCAGAACTTCGACGACTTCTTTCTTTTCCAAACCGGTTAAAACCGGAATGAGAATCCTGACATCAGTTGCACGCTTGTGATACAGGTCTTTGACGTGTTTTACCAGAGCTGTTGAGGGTGATGCTGCAAGACAAGAGATGAAAAGGGGCTGAAAAGGGGCTCCCAAAGTGACGAAGTCTCTTAAATTTTCTTCATGCAAGATTGCTTAATCCGAGAGTATAAATCCTAGCTACGTCAATATGCAATAAGGAGCAAAATGTTGTAAAATACCGCTTCCCCTGTTTTACAATTATGACGTCATAGGGGCCCCTGGGAGAGTTTTGCTCCAGGGCCCGCGCAATTTCTCGGCGGCCCTGGACATGTATCACACTATGACTAAGAGAGCAACAAATATACCTATACCATACATAGCAACTATACCTATACCATACATAGCAACTATACCTATACCATACATAGCAACTATATCTATACCATACATAGCAACTATACCTATACCATACATAGCAACTATATCTATACCATACATAGCAACTATATCTATACCATACATAGCAACTATACCT